GAGCAAAATAAATGATTGTGTTCACTCATACTTTTCATAAAGATCACTTATGTTTCCAAATATATTTACGTATTCAGTTATTCACATATATTTTGCTGCTTTCTTAAGTAAATTCAAAGAAAATAAAAAGTAGTGCAAATACATACAGTATATAGGCGACACTTATACAAAATATGTGATACAAAAGGTAAAGCTCCATACGGACGGAACATAAACCTAGTTATATAAGGATTGACCAAACTTCCAGCAAATAAGATAAATAGGTTACTTATACATCAATCAACACTCAACAGAGCATGAGAGCACCAAGTTTAGGATGAAATTTTAATTAAGATCATGACCAAGACGACTATATCAAAACTCATAATACTTTTAAGTTTTAAAAAAAAAAATTGGAAAAGATTCATTGATGGGAATTTACTTTGATTAATATATAACCTCTGGTATATATATCTTTTGTCACAACACATCATTTACTCATTAAGTAAACACAACTAGTGTGGTATCCGCGCTTTGCGTGGGATAATAATATTGAAAAAGATTTATATAATGTATATAAGATTTAAAAAATTAGTAGATAAAAAATATAATATATTTTAAATACAATAAATAAAATATAGCTAATACATACACTTTCAATTTGCTTTTTAAAGTCATTTGTATTATGTGTTGTTTTCTGACGTTTGTATTAATTTACTATGCCAAACCTACAAAGATAAACACAAATCCTGTAAGTTTTTTTATCCTTAAAAATATTAAACGAAGAGTTAAAAAAATCATAACTTTTGATAAAGTTTTGACATTTTCCTCTCAACAACTATGATATGATTTCTTCAGTTTTCTTCTTCTTATTTATCTTCCATGGAAGCTCTTCTTTTTCTTTGTACTATTTTCCCATCATTCTTATAAACCCAATTTTAACCGTAAATTTTTGGTGGAATTTCCCTCCTTCTCATGCATATCTCTTTGGGGATAACAATCGAGTCCCCGTTCCTTACCTTCACCAATCAAATATAGCTTTCAAATGGTCATGCTTTATATAGAAAATCATATATACCAAAATCAAATAACTTCATATGTTTGACTTTTCTCTACTCATTCATCTTCCCCATGACTTTTCTTTAATTTCATATGATTACAATAATACCTAGCACTGTTACACATATGTAATTTCTTCTCAAAATCTTCTCAGATTGAGACTTTTCTGCTCCAACAATAAAACAATATATTTGACTAAAATTATCGATTTTAAGAGATACCAATTCTTAATATGAGAACCTAAACACTAACAAACATACATAAAGTTATGAATGATTTAAAACGATCGATTTGACTAAAACTATCGATGTTATGGGCTACTTAACCCTAATATAGGATGCCAAACCCTTAAAATGTACATAAAATATTGAATTTTTTAAAAATAATTGATTTGACTAAATTTATCGATTTAAGGGGTATTAAACCCTAATATGGAAGCCGAAACCCTCACAAACATATATAAAAATATTGAACGATTAGAAACGATAAATTTGACTAAACTTATTGATTTTTAAAGGGATACTAAACCCTAATATAGAAGCCTAAACCCTAAAAAATGTACATAAAGTATTGAATTATGTAAAGTGATTGATTGACTTAATTTGCCGATTTTTTGTATTTTCTACGTTTTGAAAATATTCTATTGAAACTACCCGAAACAACCGAATAAAATTATTAATTGTGGGTAGTTCGGTTAATTTTGATCAGTCCAATTAATTTATCTAGTGAAGGTACCGGCTCTGGCATTAAAGTTTCGAGAATTAAAATTATACAAAATTTGATAGATTTAAATTACATTCATATATATACAAATGATTTGATGAGAGTATAGATGTGATTTCATTGTTTGTGGCATTTTCTAATTAACTAAAGGAGACAACGCATAATTCATTGCTACAATTATAGGGTTGGTTGGACAAAATTCGCTCTTTTGAATGGATTTTTCTGCGGATATTAGTGTATTTACCACTAAATGTATTTACTGTTGATTTTCTCTATTGTAGACTTAAAATAAAAAACCATTAATTTTTTTTTATATATCCATTGAAAAAATTTCTCACATGATTTCATTGGTTCTCGGACCGACGGTCTAGTATTTTCTAGCATCATTGCTTGATAAACTCAACTGAAACATACATGGAATTCATTCTTCGCATACTTTAGAGTATGTATGTTAATTTATTTCAAGTTCTTGAATTCTTGTTTGACTGTGAAGTTATAATAGCTAAGCATCCATTGATTTAAGAAGGGTGTAGCCTGAAATGTTTTGGATTATTAAAATATTCAGGCTTATGTGGTTGTACCATCTTTTTCAAACACCGAGGAAAACTACCGATTTTCTTTATACTACCACTATATTATGTTTTTTGTATTAATTGCATACACAAAACTATCACTTTCAGAAATAAAAAGTTATTAAAACATTTATACATATTAGAAAACTAAACATACATCTTTTGTGGATCTCAAATACAATTTGAATATGTTCTGAACACGAAAACTTGAAGTTTCTAAATATGTATTGAGTTTTTTCCAAATCAAAATATAGCAGAAATTTGTTTTCCTCAAAAAACACATAAATGTTTGCGCCTGTAAAAGCAAATTCTCATTTTCTTCTATGTCACTTACTTCGGACCCGTTTTCATCACCACGAAGTTTGTTTAATACAGAATCGATCTTTAGTATGGCTTTGTAAAGCTACAAATTTTTTTTTTTCAGTCCCTAAATACAAAGACGAAGAAGCTCTCAAGCGGCCTTCCTCAAGTCCATGAAGTCCATTAAAGAGAGACGTTTTCGAAGCACGATTCGCCCTAGAAAACACACAGAATCGTTTGGTTCTTATATCATATACTCATTTCTCTCCAAATTCTAACAATTCCAATTCAAAATCTTCACACAACTGTAGTGATTTGAACTCAACTCTGAAATCGTTAATTTCAAAAAACCAGAAGAGTGTCGGTGATTATAAATCTTACAAGATGTTTTGCTTTGTAAGATACTAAGATATTAGTTTACAAATTTATTAAAGTTGAGTTTAATGCTAATAAGAGATATTCCAAACATTTTTGTTAATGGAAATCTAACATTTTTTAAACAACAACAGTTTATAAGAAAAAGAAGAAAATTAAGAAGGCATGATCAAATATTAACTAAGAAAAAAAAAATAGATACGGTCGTTAATTATCTTTATTTTGTTTTTGTGTTGATCTAAATTTTCAAAAACAAATATACAACTATAAAAAGAAATTATTAAAAAAAAATAATTGTGGATATATAATAAGATAACTACGTATTTATTTGTTGGCTCTAAATATTACTCTGTAGGAAGTAATATTTTATTTATATCTATCCATTAACACCTGAGATTAACACATCAAGATGTTGGCTCTAAATAAAGTTCTAAAATTTAGACGATATGAACAAATAAACCACTAACAATTTCATTTACACATTTTTTTGTTCAATAATTGCTAACATCGGAGACAACAAACATGATTTCTTAATTTTTTGACATGTTCTTAATCTTTTTTGGCATAGAGATTGATGTGACGAAATAAGAGTTTTCACCATCGGTGCGTCTTTTTTATGAAAATAATAAAAATTAAAGAAAAGTTAAAATCCTTTGAAAAGCAATAAAACATATATTTTGCTAACATACAGACGGTCAAAAGAAGTATGCTCGGAGTTAGAATTATCAAAACATGTTATTTTGCTAACAGAAAACGAAGATTAAATTATGATTTGCTTGGCACTATCTTAGTACCGCTGGCCTCCGGCTCTCGCCGTTAGTTTCTTTTTGTCTGTAAAATTACAAATCAAAGAGAAACTAAAATTATTCAATAAACATATATGGTGTCGACAATACCATTTGACGACCCTTGAC